TCGTTTGATGTATCCAGGCTTTCCCGAGCTCAATCAAAATAAACAAAACAGAAAAAAGTTCCCCAGGGTTGGCGATTTAAAGAGAACTCGGGAAAGATTAAAATTTAAAAATGGTCTGGACAAACTGGAGAAATGGTCTGAAGTAAATAGGAGGAAATTCAACAAGGACAAATGCAAAGTACTCCATTCAGGAAGGAACACTCAGTTGCACACATACAAAATGGGAAATGACTGTCCAGGAAGGAGTTTGGATCACAAGCTAAATATGAGTCAACAGTGTAACACTGTTGCAAAAAAAGCAAACATCATTCTGGGATGTATTAGCAGGAGTGTTGTAAGCTAGACACAAGAGGTAATTCTTCTGCTCTACTCCATGCTGATTAGGCCTCAACTGGAGTACTGTTTAGTTCTGGGTGCCACATTTTGGGGAAAATGTGAACAAATTGGAGAGAGTCCAGAGAAGAACAAAAAAAGTGACTAAGCATCTAGAAAACATGACCTATGAGGGAAGATAGAAAAAATTGGGTTTGTTTAGTCTAGAGAAGAGAAGACAGAGGGGGACATAATTACAGTTTTCAAGTACATAAAAGGTTGTTACAAGGAAGATGGAGAAAAATTGTTCTTGTTAACCTCTGAGAAGCAATGGGCTTAAATTGCAGCAAGGGTGATTTAGGTTGGACATTAGGAAAAACTTCGTAACTCTCAGGGTGGTTAAGCACTGGAATAAATTTCCCAGGGAGGTTATGGAATCTCCGTCATTGGCGATTTTTAAGAGCAGATTAGACAAACACCTGTCAGCAATGGTTTAATACTTAGTCCTGCTTGGAGTGCATGAGATTGGACTAGACGAGCTCTCCAGGTTCCTTCCAGTCCTACAATTCTATGATTCTATAAGGCTTTCTTCAGCCTAAACAATATAAGAACAAAGGACAGGAAAGACCCTCCTGGATTAATTCTAGTCCACAAGTAACTCCATTATATAATCCTGTTCATAAATTTATCAAGCTCCATCTTAAACTGATTCAGTTCTTTGCCCCCACTACTCCTATTGGAAGGCTGTTCCAGAACCCCCTCCCCAAACACAGACGTCACCGAGAAGACTGGCTTTCTGTGGCCTAGAGTTTAAGAGCAGTAAAAAGTAATTTTAAATCAGACCAAAGGAGGGCTCTTTACCTGTCGTTTCCTTCTTCCTCCATGTGGCAACTGGCTCTGATTATCAATTCCAACTTCACTCTATAGGACACAGCTGGGGAATTACTGCATTCACTACAGAGAACTTTGCCCTGCTACCCTGACACTTAGAATATGCAGCTCTAGTCAGAAAAAGCACATTGACTCTCTTTGCCAACCCCTGAACACGGACTAACATGCCGGGTCACCCCCTGTTTCTGGTGTTCTCTCAATATAACTTGCTCCTCTGTGAGGATTAGGGTAGGTAAATAACAATGCTGAATTGTCTACCAGGTTCTGGGCAACTGTAAGGAAAGTGCTCACGACCAATCAGATGACCTTCAACTAGTTAAATTACGTAGAGATGCTATTCAATGCCTTCTTAGTCCACATAGCTAAATGGTCTCCCAAACTTTAACCCTTAAGCTATGTCTACACTGCAGTTAACCCAGGCTCTTACCTGGGTTTTAGCCTTAACCCCCCTTCTGACTACATAAAAAACCTCTAGCCCAGGTTTAAAGATGCTTTAAATATACAGGCTAGTTTACCTGGCTGGTGGTGTAGGTTAGGAAACAAGGCTTAAACTTGGCCTGGAACCCACACTTTGCAATAAGGACACAGGCTAAATCACTCGAGTCCTCCAGTCTTCTTTCTTTAATCTCCTGGACCCTCAGGTGCATCCACCAGTTTCTGCCATTTATTTCAATCTTGTGCTGGTCTGTTCAGGCTGCTGAGTGTCACGCTGATGGGTTTGGCTTCTCTATTGTTCTGCATAATGTTTCTCTCGGTCACCCTCTTTTTCTCTTTCCAGGCGTGTCCATATTATCACTTGCTCTGGAAGACGTGTTGGCGGCATCCATAAAGCGTGTCTCAGCCCAAAGACCCATTATATATGCCCCCCTATGATAAATGGGGGGGGGAGAGTGGCTCCCTTTTGTGGACACCCAGCCAGCCAGTTAGCTACAGAATCCCTCTTGATAGCTGTTCTCTACTTGCTTTACCTGTAAAGGGTTAAAAAGTCTGACTGCATGCGTAGGTAAAGGGAAGTGAATGGGCACTTGACCAAAAGAGCCAATGGGAGGGCTAGAACTTTTTAAAATTGGGAAAAACTTCCATTTGTCTGTTGTTGTTCTCCGGGGAAGAAGGGAACAGGGCAGCAGTTATGCTATGAGAAGCTGAAGGCCAGGTATGAAAATCATCAGAATCATACCTAGAAATTGCTTATTTGGAAACCCAGATATGTAAGTAGATCAGAAAATCTGTAGGAAGATGCAATTAGGTTTATTTTGTTTGTTTCTTATGGCTTTGGGACTCTGTGCTAACCCCAAATGCTTTTGTTTTGCTTGTAACCTTTAAGCTGGACCTCAAGAAGGTTATTCTTGATATTTAATTTGTATAAGTAGGTTTTTAAAATCTAGCAAAATCCTATGTTCCAGATGTATTTTCTTTCTTTTTGTTTTTAATAAAATTTACCTTTTTTAAGAACAGGATTGAATTGTTGGTGTCCTAGGAGGTTTGTGCAATGTTGTTTAATTAGCTAGTGGCAATGGCTGATTTCCTTTGTTTTCTTTCTCAGCTCTTCCCCGGAGGGGGTGGGTGAAAGGGCTTGAAGGTACCCCACAGGAAGGAATTCCCAAGTGCTCTCTCCTGAGTTCTCAAAAGGGGGGAGGGTTTGCACTTGGGTGCTGGCAGCATCTACCCATCCAAGGTAAGAGAGAAGCTGTGACCTTGGGAGTTTAATACCAGCCTGGAGTGGCTAGTATTAATTTTTAAAATCCTTGCGGGCCCCCAACTTCTGCACTCAAAGTGCCAGAGTGGGGAATCAGCCCTGACACCCCCCACATACAGGTGAGTGCAGAAATAATGAGGGCACCGTAATGTGGGTATGGCTTTGCAGTGGGGATGGTCACACCCAGGCCAGGCTACCCCAGGTGCTCAGACCTAGGTACCAACCACCTGTGTTAACTGTGTAGAGTAGACATAGTTGCAGAGAGAAAAGGAGAGAGAAGCATGGCTAGACTGCAACCAGTAGGAGTTCACAGAAGAGGAGCTCAATACCTTGAGTTTCACAGAAGTTTGGCCGAGAAGTGTCAGCAGAGCTAAATTTAGAAAGCATCCAGCAATGAAGAGGTCTCATCTTAAATAGGTAAAAGAGTTGCTGCCATTAAAATGGGATGAAAGGAGGGGAAATGGGACAAGCAAGGTGGAAGGTCTCAATGCACCACATTTCAGACACTGGAGTTGGAGTCAGTCCCAGTCATGACTCCATGACGGTCCTTGGCACCAAACTATTCGCCAAATGGCAATGAGCATTAGGTGCTGCACTGATATGTGTTGATGCACAATTCTTGAGGTGATGCTTTTTTACTTGTGTCTGTCTTTACATTTTGGCATAGAAGCTATGGTGGATGACCTGATACCAGGTATATTACCCAGGAGCAAGAGCTAAAGATATCTGTCTGTCTCTCAACTGGTTCAAGGTAAAAAAAATCTCAAACATAACTTGCCTCACCCCAAACACAGCTGGCACTGCCAGGCTGGTCTGTGTTGAACTACTGAGAGAGCTTCAACTTGGCTTTTTCAAATTCCCCAGTGAAGAGCAGGTATGAGACAGAATAGCAGGACCAGAATTTCTCAGGCAAGATTTGCTAATCTTAAGAACGCCACACCAGACAAAGATACACAAGATTTTAAATGGGGCAGAACACAAAAATTTCTATCAATATTTATAAAACCCAAACCTCACCAGCAGGACATTGTATACAACAGGAAACTGAAGGGGAAAGTCAGTTCCTCTTTCTAAATACAAAGTTAAGTGCTCTTACACACTTATTAAAAAGAAAAGCCAAACACCACTCACCAAGATAGACTTTATCAACAGCGAGCTGAGGCTGTAGTTTTGTTAGAATGTAAGCTCCACGAAGCACACTGTGCCACCTTCTGGGTTTTCTACAGTGCTGAGATCATTGCCCAGCACATATGATAATAGAAGCCCCTAGCAGATGCTTCAAGGCTCAAGACCTAAAAGCTATACCACTATTAGAAGCTATAGGCTCATGTGAGACACCAAGAGTGGAAATCTGCAGAGGCAATTCTTTTTGAAGAAAGAAGAGTAGATAAGAATAACATTGGTCAGAGCCATTATCTTCATCCTGGCAAAAGGATCAGCTATCAGCAGGTACATAAATCAAGTAACTAGCTTTCAGCAAATCTCTAATAGCAAGGTCTTTAGCTACTTTCCTGTTTCAGCATACGGGAACCTTAGACCACTTAACCGCTTAGGTAGGACATACAGCATCTCAACCAATATTTTCTCTTTTAACTTTAAGTGCAATTAGTAGTTGTTTTATGAAGGTTCAAAAAGAGATGGGCTCCCTGATAGACAGGAAAAGTTCTTATCAGCCAAGCTCACCTGCTTCCATCTCTTTTTCACTCACTGAAAATTATGCTGGAAATTTAAAAGGCTATTTCTAAAACGATAGCAAATTCTCTATGAAGCACACGGTTGTCCAAAAGGGCTCAAGGAAGGCAACAGCACCCCTTACCCCTTAGACTGCAAAGAAAGGGATTCCTCACAGCTCCCACTGCAGTACAGTTGAATCACTTGACCTGATTTACTGATCCAAGGGTTGCTTTAAGTAATAATGTCTTACCTCCAGTCCATGTATTAGGGAAAAGGGCCATGGAAATGCCAATCACAGAATAGTGCAAGAACATTTATATACTATAAGACAACATATGACAGTTACAGCTCTGACAGCAAGTGGAAGGGTGTTTCAGTGGGATCGGCAATATGGTAATTAAAGAAATGGTGAGGGGAGAGAGCTTACCTGCTGCTCCTTCAGCTTGGCAGCCCCAAGCTCTGAGAGAGAGACAGTCAGCTTTTCTTGCTGTTCAGATAGATACTTCTGATATAGACTCAGGAGTTCCTGGCATTCTCTGTACTGCTGCTGCAGAGGTGAGACAGCAAGTTAAGGAAAAATATATTCCGTATTGAAAAGTTAAAATCTAACAAATACCAAATTTATTGTGTGTAAATCTGTTTTGGTCCTGTGGTAACTGAAGCCATAAAATGCAGAGTTCAGAGAAAGACACACCATGTGTGCATGGAGAGTGTGTGGGGGCAGGAGGGTGGAGATGGATGGTTACTATGGATGTGCCAGAAGGGAAATGAAAAGACCAAGAACAAGTGCAATCTTATCCCCCACCCATAAGACAGAGACGAACCTTCACCAAATTTACAAACACTTGAAGGGGAGGAGTACAGGAGGTAGGTTATGCCATTTCAGTTAGCGCAGTTACAGCCCTCTTTGCATATGTGGTCCTATTTGTATTCAGCTAAGGAGGATAGTGCCAATGCTTTAATTATTAACAGCCAACTCGGTAAATATTCCACTTTTTAAGTACAGCTATGGATTTGATGCCCACAGACTCAATTTGAACTACTGATGGATCATAAACACAGCCACAGTTGCAGGACTACAGGCCTTTCAGAGACCAGCAATGATTTTTGGATTGTTATCTGTAGAAGCAGCAAACTGTGGTATTTGCAAGGATATTAGCAATAGTGCCCTGCCTTGCTTGCAGCACTGAAATTCCAAACGGAGATAAATCTGCTCATCACCTGTCATTGTGTAATTCCCTCCCTTGCTCATTTAGCATGGTAAACCATTTACGCTTCCCCCTCGTTCCACCCCTCCCTGATTTCAATTATGCATGCGGATGGGATAAGGGCTCAATGTCCAAAGAGATTACTCTGAATAAATACTTTAATAACAAGTCATCACAATTAAGGTAGGGAACAAAAACTTCTTCAAATATATAAAATGGTGTTGAGTTACAGATTTCCTTAACATTTTTATGATCTAATCATCGCTTCTGGGCAAATTCGTGTTGCAATCATTTTTGCCAATCATGGCTGCATAAATAACTCACCGTTTTGTTATTCCCCGTTACGATCCTTTAAAAAAAATTTTTTAAAGAGCTAAAAATGGGATGAGCAAAGCTTTTTGGGAAGGGAGCAGAAGGGAGGTGATTAAGATCTAATGCTAAAGTAATAAGGAGAGCTTCTAAAACACCTTTGCTCAGCATCTTGAGATAAAGGAGGGTACAAACAATGGTCTAAATAAGCTAATTGCTTTTACTAGTCAATCCATCTGAAGCCGGAGCAGTTTTACATTTCTGTGCATTTTGTCAGAGAGCACCAAAAGGCTGAAGTGATTTGTGGGGGTCTCAGGAGTCTCTGCCAGCTATGATGTATATAAAAGGAATTTTTTATTCCAGCTGTAACCATAAGCAGTAATGTTTATAGTAGGTGAACATATTAGCCTGGACGCAGGGCATGAATTTTACCGTAGAAAAAGCCAGTACATTTATACGGCCTAAGAGTTAAATGTCAGCATTTGAAGACAAATTATAGGCAAATTCATTTAAACCCATGTTATGTGGCAGAATATAAAAACAGACAGTCCTATCTTTATCAAATTTTTATGTCTCTCTTAATTCACTCTGCTTCCAACAGCCCCTCCCTCATACAACAGGACTTTACCCCACTATCTGCCTATTGCTGTTCCCTATCGAAGTGGGTGAGTGTAATGTATACCCTAATGGGCTTTGGGGTACACACATAGTGAGGGCATATCTATTCTTGTTCTTGCTAGTGCATTACACATAGTTCTGTATTTCAAACATGAAAATTATACAGTATGAGAGTCACACCCAAAGAAACTAATAGAGTGGGAATGCATTACACCAGAGGGTCCCAAACTCTGCTCCATGGCCACAGGCAACCTTGAAGCACTTGCTGTGCACGTGATGATGTCTCTTCTTGCTTCTAGCTGCTCAATTTAATTAAAAGAGCTGAAAACATGACTTGCTTCCCTAACATTACTTCTACACGTCAGCAATGGCTGGCAGTGTCGAAAGGATATTGTGCGTTCACAATTGGGAGGGGTGATGCTTGTGCATGAATGGGAGGAGAAAAGTCCATGAGACTTTTTCCCTTTTTAAATATGGTTCACATTGTGACAGTGGCTAGGAATCCCTGCATTAGAAGATAAAACCTTGTTCGTTCACACAATACTAGAGACATTCACTGTGAAGTAACGAGTAAGCAATCAAACAGAAAAGGTATAATATATCAGTGTTCTCTGTTCATTCATTTAGACAAATGTAGCTTAGTTTTAGCTGCTATGATACTTCTTACTAAGCTAGTTCATTTACTGCAGTATAATTTTCTAAGACGCAAGCCTTACTATGAGATATTACTCTTCCACTCTATTAAATCTTTACTAAACGTGGGGAAAGAGCACCTTAATTCCTACAAAGTAACAAGATTCTATGCCATACACAAATGCAAATAGGAACTACACCATTTCATTGGGAATGATACAATGATGCTGAGGAGGAGGCTATGAGTACCTATATAGACACACAGGCTGATCAAATACTTTCACAATCTGCTTTGAAGAAACTCACAAATTTCATTGGGGGGGGGGGCATAAATCTATAGGACTACAAATCCTAGAATTGAAACATAGCTAAATGCTCAAATAAGATCACATCTCTTTAAGAGTTCAAGAGTCCAAATACTGGATTAACAAGATATTAATTATCTGATTAGAGCTGTTTAGGATTTCACTGAACTGTATTCTCATTTGTTGCACAAAAAATTAACACTTGAATTACTGTAATTTGTTACACACACAAAAGTTTGTTAATGCAGTATTAAGCTTGTATAGTAACAAGAGAATCATGAGAAGTCAGGAAATGCAAAGGTTCAGGTTTTAACAGCAATACTAATTCACCATGCTGCATATCCTGTCCATTTTATAGGATTCATTTAGAGAAACAATAGATTAAAGTCACAGATACAGAGTTCATTTATGGCTCTTAGAAGCAAAAACCTTGCTTTGAGAGGTTTGTCTTGGAGAATCGGGATTGTCCAAGCAGCAGGTGTTAGTAGCATTATGCTTGTGGCGGCCAGAAGCAGACAGACTTCCAGGGGCACAAGGGGTGGTGAGTAAAGTGGGTAATATGGTGGCCGTTAATGTATGCTCCTCCCCAGCACTGCCTTTCAGCTGTAAACTGACATACAGGGTTGGGGCAGGACCATGGCTACCGTCTACCACTCCAACTTGCCCCCTCTGGGGCATGTAGGATTGTTGGCAGTACTAGCAGCCCCCTCGTGAGTTTAGAAGTATAAGCAGCTGTATTATAACTACCAGTTTCCCAGTAGTCAGAGAGTCAAGGGCCCTCCCCACAGCATCCTTAGGAAAAAATAATAGCAAATACCACACATCTACACGGGAGGCATGTTAACATTTGCTTGACTTTTTGTAATGTTCACAGTGCAAACTGTAATGTTGCAACAACATAGCGTTCCCCCCCTCTCCCCAGCACCCCCTCTCCATTTAATTTCCTAACATTTGGTTTGTTTGTTTTTAATTGAAAACCTGGGGGTTCTACCAGGGGCTCCCCCAGAATTTTTTTACATAGTACACGCAACTGAACCACTAGTTTAACTTCACATGTAGCCACCAAGGTCTGGCCCGGCCGTCGAGTGGCCAAATTTCAGTGAGTGGCAATGCGACTTGGTGTACGAGGTTGCAGCTCCACTCAGGTTTGGCACAATGGCCTATCCGTCATGATGGAAGGGCTACTGGGCCAAATTTCAGCCACTCAGTTTGGGGGCCCAAGGCAAACTACCCCTTCCGCAAGTGGTGCTGCCCTTGCCAATGGTATGCACCACACATATGGTGTATACAGCTGTCATAAATATAAAGAAAAGGGTAGCATAAAATCCCTCCTTGGCAGCTGTACTGAATTACTTTACCTGAAAGGGATTAAGTAGCTCAAATCACCTAGTTGGCACCTGACCAGAAGGACCAATGAGGAAAGAAGATACTTTCAAATCGGGCGGGGGAGGGAGGAGAGAGAATTTGTTTGTGGCTCTCTTTGTTTGTTCCCTCTCCGGACGGAGGGAGAGACCAAGCAGGTACAACATCTCCTGAAAACATACCTGGAGCGATCCATCTAAAATTACAGTAATTGTAAGTAAGGCAAGGAAATGCGTTAGGTTATCTTTTGTTTTGATCTGTGAATTTTCCTATGCTGCAAAGGTAGTTTTATTCCTGTTTTTGTAACTGTGAAGCTGAGTCCAGAGGGGAGTCCTCTGTGTTTTAAATCTTTTTATTACCCTGTAAAGTTACCTTCCATTCTGATTTTGCAGGTGTGATTCTTTTACTTTTTCTTTAAAATAAAGTTCTTCTTTTAAGAACCTGATTGATTTTCAGTGTCCTAAAGACAAAGGGTTGGTATATTATTCTCAAGCCTCCCCAGGAAAGGGGGAGAAGGCGCTTGGGGGGGATATTTTGGGGGAATAGGGATTCCAAGTGATCCTTCCCTGAATTTTTCTGTAAAACACTTGGTGGTGGCAGCAATACCGTCCAAGGACAAGAAAAGCAATTTGTGCCTTGGGGAAGTTTTAACCTAAGTTGGTAAAATATAAGCTATGGAGGGTCTTTCATGCGGGTCCCCACATCTGTACCCCAGAGTTCAGAGTGAGGGGGGGAACCCTGACAACAACTATGGGCACCACTGGGGTTTTTTGGCTTACAGAGCCTACTTTCTCCAGTAGCTTCGTTAGTAAAGCTTTTCATTTCTGCATATTCACTTGTGTAACACTAAAAAACAATCAACCGGTGCATCTTTCTCTAACCATACTCACTGCTTTACAACTTGATAGAATTCCAAACATGTTCCCTAATCTGCTAATCTAGAACATTTTCATATTTAGCCAAGCAGGGACCTCACAACAAGGACCAGTTACTTGCCAAAGTTTCAAAGTTCAATCTTTTCTGAATTATTCCCCTGAGGGTGGGAGGGGAAATAAGCACAAGGAATTTTTATTTAAAACATAAATTCTCACCCTTTGTTGTTCAAAATGATATTTCTTGC